GCTGACTTACACCAGTAGCTGATGAAATTCGGCGTGTGCTTGTTTGCGTGTTTTCGGCAATTCGCACTAAAACATCCTCTTCTTGCTCCGCCGCTAATACTTTAGGCCTTCCAACGTCTCGTTTAGGGCGAAATGATCCCGTTTCTCCTAATCTGTCGTACAACGTCTTGAAAAGCTTGTGGTTAGGTTGTCTGTTATTTGGATATAACTCCAAGTACCTCGCTGCTGCATGACGACCACAATAATTTTCTTGGGCATACACACATACCATGTTTCTCATTTCAACAAACGAATAATCATTATGACGCGGCATTTTAATGAAAAAAATCACAAACGAAGAAGAACTAAACTGTCTAGTATTTATAAGTTGCTTAGAATTGACATAAATAATACATGACATTTCATTGACAGCGGCCTACTTCATTTAAGTCATCTTATTTAAAGGCGTACGTTCAAACAAATAATTTTGTAAAGAAATAGTAAATCGTTCTTATTTCGAAAACGGTTAAGTTTATCGATTTTTAACAGGTATATCTTTTTTATTTAGAATTGAACGTAGTTTAATAATTTCTTATTGGAAATTCAGATTTTTGAAGAACAAAAAAGTTTGACATATGTTTACTCCGACGGAACTCTACAACTAGCGCATCCTAGATGTGATTGCAAAATAGTTACCATTTCCGTAATTACCACCTCAGAAAACATAGGTGTACAAACTTTCAAGACAATCCGTTCAAAGATGCTCAAGATAATAAAAAAATCGAAAATATTTTTTCAACTTTAACACCTTGTAGATTGAAAAGGAGCAACATTAGGATAAGGCATATTTGGCTTAATCGCTCTATTTTGAGGTCAGCAACATGCCCTTAAGCTCTGTCCCATTATTAATGAATCACCCTGTATGCAATGTCTCGATATCCTCAAAGTAAATTTAAAAATAATAAAGACAATGTATCATAACAAGTTTTTATATTCAAAATATTAAATTTAGTAAGAATGTTTTACTAAAAATAAATCTTAAAATCGTCACAACATTCATGACTTATATAGGAGCAGTGACTTTCATACCAGGGAGGACAGGAAAATTTAGATAAAGTATTGAAAAAAAATGAAATATAACTGGGCAGTTTTATTTTAAGTACTATTGAAATATAGAGAAAATGTGTTCAATATTTTTATAGGGAAAGTCCATTATTCTGCTTTTGTACAAAATAAACTTTTCAATTACTTTTCCATTAAAGTATGGTATTTCTCGCACCACTGATTGTTCAATAGATAGCATTAGTCTGTCTTTACAATCTCTTAATCTTTAATCTCAAAACAAACGAGAAGAAATACGTAAGTAACAAAATTTTACACCATACCTGAACAAATTACGTTTAATAAGAAAGAAAGCCATGAATACTTAGCTACTATTTGATTACAGTAGGACTAAACAGAGCCCAAACTGTTTGTCTTTCACTGCTGCGTGACGGTAACCATGACCACCACTGTAAACACTTTACAGATGTAAGAGCGAGCTACGCGGAGCCCTCATATTCAGAATTTTTAAAACGAATTTTGCAAGTCGAGTTAAATTGACAACACATTACAAATAGAACATTTCCTTTTTAATGTATTCCATAAGTTTAATCTATTAATTATCTAGAAAACATTGTAAACTATATTTAAATTTTTTTACTACCACTACTATGGTTTTGGTTCATTTTCAAGGTACCTAACATTTTTTTTAATAACTGTCAAGTAGAAACCAATTTAAACTGAATTTTATATGGTATTACATGGGGAACTGAATAATTTGATAGTGCCTTAGTAATTTTTTACTAGGGCACTATCACTTTTATATTTCGGGAATGGATGATCCTGGTGCTACCATCTGACAACAGACCTTCCTATCGTAAAGTTCGACTTTTTGTCGGTACACTTCCTTAGAACGTTTTAACGTACAAACCCTATTTGTGTTGTTTACAGTAACCTGAAAAATTCATCTCAGCCAGAAAATGGTATGGGTCTTTCAAGACGAGTAAAATTCAACAAAAGTTGTTCGCGCACGAAGCACTTCTAAACAAACGGCTGTCCGTTTTTTCGAAAAAACGGTACATGTAACTGTACCATTAGTGCAATGTCAGATGGTCAATTCTGAATGGTAGAGCCAAAAGTCTTTGGAAAAATAAGGTAAACCAACTGCCCAAGAAGCATCATTCACCACCAAGACAATGCAAGTTCTTACATCGGCTCAAAAAAGACTTTTTGAGAATTGCAAAAGTCGAATTGATGAGTCATTTGCCGTACAGCCCTGATTTGACACTTAATGACTTTTTTGTTCCTGAAGATGCAGTTGATGCGTTCAAAATGCATGTTTTGGAGGTACCTCAATCGGAATGGAAAAAGTGTGTCAAAAACTAGTTCAAGTCCATGCAAAAGTGCACTGATCTTCATGGGGAATGTTTTGAAAAGCAATACAGCCATGTACAATGATTATTTTGTTTTTTTTCCTCTATTCCCAAAATATAAAAGGCAACCATTATACAATATGAGAGAGTTAAAAGAACTTCTTCCTACTTACGCATCTTATATCATAAAAAATTAAATACCTCCAAATTATGCGACTGCCCTTGTCCTCCATATCAAATCTGGTTTAAATTGACTTAAGCATAAAAAAAGACAATTTGAATCAATATGGCTCTGTAAACGGAGAATGACACGATACTTGTCGTTAAAGTCTGATGCATTGGAACGCCCTGTATATCATATTCAAATATAATTACCTCTATATCGAAACAAACAACACATTCTGAGGTGCTTATGGTTCTGAAGTTGTCTGGTAAGGGAGCGCTAGCTTCTTCCTCGTATGCCGTTGGGGCCGAAGGAGTATAATTATCACAGAAAAGTAATTTTTCTTTTTCATACATTTGAAACGCATCAAGAATATTCATCCGATCGATCCTATTTGTAACTCCTGCTTCTAAAAGATCCGAATCTGTTATTTTTACATTATCATCTACAACAAAAGAAAATAGTATACAAAAATAACTAAAATTGGACGTTTACATTGATACTGTGTAAGTTTCGCCAAAAACGGTAAACAGTGAATCACTCCTTTCGCAAGCAGAGCTTGAGCTAAGTTCGGGTCCACGTTTCTTTGTGCCAAAGACAAATCTTTTGGTAACCTGAAACATATGTGTTACGTATTTCATTTGCTAAAATAAATAAAACGTATCGTTACTTGTCTAGTAATAGCTGGTACTGCTTCAGCCAAAAATCGTCTGTACTGTCTGTACTGTCTTCCATTGACTGCAGAGTAGACAACAGTTGACGACGCCTTTCTTTTTGCTGTTCCAGTAAGTCTATGAGTAGAATTGAAAGATTTATTCTTTTTTCAGCCAAGTCACACTGAAATTAAATTATATAATTTCAAAAACCCGTTGACTGTAATAATTTTAATCTTACCATTTGTTGGTCTATTTCAAGTTTCTTCCTGTCCATTTCTATGTGAGTTAGAGCAGCCAATTGTGCTTCCACAAGTTTAACTTCCTGCACGAGACTCCAACTTCTGGCATCTCCCCTTTCCAGCAAAGTACCAACTGCCACTTTTTGCAAGTCATTATCCTCTTTCAGCTTATTTACTAATTCAGCCTTATGTTCATCCTGATTTTTCAGTACCTCCAACAATCTAGAATCCGTTTCAGCTTCCCTAGAAAAAATGAGAAATTAGAATTGTTAGATTGTTTTATCACATCTGCAAAACTCCCATTCTGTATACAAATATTGTTAAAACATGTTTGTTACACCTTTGTTAAAAAGTACAACTGTGGACAATACAATTAAATAATTTAATTTAATTATAATCGTTAATATATCTGCAATAAAAATTTTAATTGACATTATATACAGGGTGATTCAGTCATAATGTCATTAATTTTAACCACATATTCGGAAGACTAAAGACAAAATCGGAAAAAAAAATGTTTTTGCTCGACTTTTAAATATGAAGGAAATCAACCCATAACTCCCGCTAAGAAGGCGGCCTTGCCAGATGCCCGGATGCTCGGAAAATTTTGTAACAATGTCACAAATCAGTCTTCAGCTGAAGCGAACAGCATTGCCAAGTTCACATCATAATCTGTGGTTCACATTTACTTTGGGTTCCAAGCTAAACGTATGCAAGTAAATAAAGGAGCATGCTGGAGCACCCTCCATATCTCCGGAATTTTTCCCGCAAAGGAGGGAACATCACACCATACAGATGGTGAGGGGATGTGGATTGGAAAGACACAGACACATGAAACCGTTAGTTTAGTTTATTTCGGATTGTTTAAAGTGTCAGTCGTGTGGATTATGGTGAATTTATACAGAGTGTGTACAGAACACAAATGCCGCTGCAATTGAATATCGGAGGCGTTTTCCTGATCAACAGAACTTCCCAAGCCCGTGAACTATTGTACGAGCCATTCAGCGTCTTCGTGACACGGGGTCTATCATACTGTGCAGAGAACGTGCAGGACATCTACAAAATGACTTAAATGTGATAGAGGTTGTTTTAAATTTGGTCGAGGAGCAGCCTACCATTTTCCCCAAGTACAATTTCAAGATGATTGGAGATATCACAAACCAAAGTTTGGCAGGTATTGCGCGAGAATTCACTCAACCCGTACCATTTTCAAAAAATTCAAGCTTTAGAACCTAATTCCCCCAATCGTCTTGAATTTTGCAACTGGTTCCTAAATCGAAGTACAGCAGAACCTAACTTTATTAACAAAATGCTCTGGACGGATGAATGCTCTTTTACTCATTTTAAACAGGTAAAGAACATATTACTTTCTCAAAAACAATAAGTACCTACCTAGGTTACACCAAGGTTTATATTTACACTAAAGTTTACATTTATTATGTAAACTTTGGTTATACGCAACTGCATATTGAATAAATTGAAATACTAAAACTGTATATTATTTAACATAATAAATTATAAAACGTAAAAACGTTAATAATATTAAAAATGATAAAACCTATATTTGAAAACAATCATCCCTATTCATTTGTTGTTTTAGTATCAACATTATAATAAATAAATAACAATTGTTATCACAATATTTAAGGTAAAATATCTATTTATCATGTATCAAGACAAAAATGTTTGTACATATGTACTACATTTTACCTTTGTACGTGCCATTGTTGTTTACTTGTTTTTTGAAGGCGCTCTCTGATTTACAAGCGTGCCAGTTGGTATTTGACGTATAACCGACCACTTCGTACACTCGATGCTCCTGGGTGACTACAGCTACTACCAGAACACAGTGCGTATGCAGCAGTATTTTAGATCTTACGCCTCCTAAAAGTGATGACACGATTTTCCTTTGATAAAAGACCGACAACTTTTTGCTCTACTTTGCATCGAATACGATCCTACTACAGTCATATAGTGCACGTGCAAGACAAAAGTGGGTTAGAAGATTAGTGACCTGGACAGGTTAGCCTAGGTCGGAAACACGTACCGAGTTGTTTATTTGTCTCCATCCGATTGTTTTTTTTATGGAATATACAAGTCTCTCTTCTATTACTTACAGTCAATATTTAAATACTATATACATTTCATCCTCTCTTTATAATTTATCTACTGAATGTTACATTTTTATGCTTTTATCAATGATATTGATGACTATTTAGACTTAAATAAAGCTGATGCCTGTTTTCAACTCATAGTGGGCGACGTTAATATCAATATATTAGAAGAAAATGAGTATGTGAACAATTATGTGTCAATGTTAGCTAAACATGGATTTGTGCCCTACATTCAATCTCCAACTAGAACTACAAAAGAATCTACTTCATGCCTTGATCATATTTTTGTAAAACGTAATCAGGGTGTCAATAGTTTTAAAATTGACTCCTATATACTTAAATGCTCCGTTACTGATCATTATGCTGTCATGATACATTTTAGTAAAGATTCTATAAGTTATGACACAATCAAGCAAATTAATACTAAAAAATTTTCTAAAATTAATATTAATAAATTCATTAATTTGATTAAAAATGAAAGTTGGAATCATGTTTTGCAATTAAATAATTCTCAACTTGCTACTAATATATTTACTGAAACATATTTAAAAATTGTATCTCAGAGTACTTATACCAAACCCACTAATAATAAAGTACCTAAGAAAATCAAACCTTGGATTACAATTGGTCTAACCAAGTCAATAATAATTAGAGATAAAATGAAAAAAAGACTGACAAATAGTTATTCTCAGGATTTGGAGATAGAGTACAAAACATATAGAAATAATTTAAATAAGCTGTTAAAAAAATGTAAGCATGAGTATTATAAAGATATTATTTTACTTAATCAAAACAATATGAAAAAAATTTATCAAGTAATATCTGAAGCTACCAATGAAAAATCTAAAAATAATGCATGTTCTTTTAATATTGCCAATGAAGATGGTCAACCATATGATAATAATAAAGATATGTCGAACTACTGTAATGAATATTTTGCTAACATTGGTATTAAAATGGCCAACAATATAAAGATACCTGATGACTTTTCTTCTCAAATACCGCCAATTAATAATTCATTGTTTTTAACGCCTGTTACAGAAAATGAAATAATATTACAAATAAATTCTTTGAAAAAAAATTCGGCTCCAGGTATGGATGCAATTACTGCCGAACTTATAAAGTCATCTCACAAGCAGATAGTTCAGCCTATTACACATATAATAAATTTAATTTTTGCCACTGGTATTGTGCCTTCTCAATTTAAAAGCTCTATCATTACTCCTGTATTTAAAAATGGTGATAATACGAGAATATCCAATTACAGGCCTATTAGCTTGATAAATAATTTTGGAAAAATTTTTGAGAAATGTCTTAAAACTAGGCTTGTAAGTTTTCTTAAAAATAACAATATATTGAGTCCACATCAGTTTGTTTTTTTGGAAGGTAAAAGTACAGAGGATGCAATGTATGAAGTAGTAAAGGAAATCACAGACAATCTGGATTCAAGTAGAAAGTGTGCTGCAGTGTTTTTAGACTTGGCTAAGGCATTTGATACAGTGCCTCATGACAAGCTTCTTAATGTGCTGCATAGTTATGGAATTCGAGGAAATGTGCTAAAGCTTTTTACTAGTTATTTAACTGATCGAATGCAATATGTTAGAGTTAATAATTGTCTTAGTGATCCCCAGGAAGTTAAAATAGGTGTGCCACAGGGCACTGTTTTAGGGCCCATACTCTTTATAATATATTTAAATTCTTTGTTATTCTTAAATACTAGTGGTAAAATACTGTCATATGCAGACGATACTGTAGTCATTTTCTCTGGTGATACCTGGGATACAGTTAAAGAACAAATGGAACGTGGCATAACTGCTATTAAAATATGGTTAGATGGACATCAGTTATCTCTAAATGCTGGTAAAACCAAATACATAGCATTTTCAATTACCAGCAAAAATAGGCCCAACTATGATAGGATTAATATTGAACGTTTCAGCATGGTAATAAATGAAGTATATTCCATAAAATATTTAGGTATCGTAATTGACAAAAACATTAAATGGGAGCAGCATATAAATAAATTAACAGCGAACACTCGAAAACTGATTTTTAGATTCTACAAATTAAGAGATATCTTAAGCAAAAAAATATTACTTATAGTTTATAAATCTCTAGTGGAATCCATTTATCGCTATGGTATTCTGGTATGGGGTGGTTTATATAATACGACTTTAAAACAGCTATCTGTTGTACAAAATTATATATTAAAAATCATTTTAAAAAAAAATAAATTATACCCGACCAGTTTACTTTTCAAGGATGGAATATGTAATATTAGATCTTTGTATTTCCATTCATTGTGTACAAATGTATTTAAAAATGAAAAACAGTTGATAATGAATGTTAGGATAACTCGGAGTATGTCAAACGAAGCTTTACTAACACCTTTTAATAATAAAACCATAGGTTTGAGATTTGCGACACATTTAGCTCCCTAGACATACAACTTGTTACCCTTAGAAATAAGAAGAACCAAAAGCTTTAAAAAATACTCGCACCTCTGCAAAACATACATAAGTAACAACTATTTGTTTTTTTGTCATTGATTGAATAATATCCTAGCTAATACGAAAGATGATAATAATAATTTGAATTTTACTCATATTATTGTATATACAGCATATACTTAATGTATTTTGTGCTTGCACAATACAAGTGTTAATTCACTTAGGTGCAATGTGTATAACGTTTTTGTTTCTTTTTTTTCTTCTTAGTGTTAATTTTAATATACTGTAATTGTTTTATCTGTTTTCTAAAAGTAGGCCTAACACCTAAGATACAACGTTAAATAAGATTTAACAAGTATTATTTTTTTATACTTAGGTTCCTACATGATTGACGTGTATGTGTTTTAAAGTTAGCCACATTAAACATTAAACATTAAACATTAAACATTATGTCATTATTTCTGTAATGAAATTAAAATGGTTATGAAATGAAATTTAAATTATTTGAACTCTTGGAGTTTAGTAACTTCAATATTAAATTTTATTTAAAGCAAAACAGAGCTAATTTCTTTGCAGCCATAATAGTCACATTTGGTCAGATGAAAACCCGCACACTACTCATCAGTTTAGCTTTCAGAGGAGATTCGGTGTTAATGTATGGGCAGGAGTATATGGTGATCGTTTAATTGGGCCACATTTTCTACCTGAACATCTGAATGGGTCGCGTTACTTTCAATTTTTAGTAAATTGTTTGAAAACCTTCCCCTTCAGATGCTACGGGATATGTGATATATGCACAACAGAGCTCCGGCCCATTCTGCTCGAGCCGTCCGTAGATTTTTAGACGATCAATGTTCCAATCGGAGGATAGGGAGAGGAGGGCCCATAAGATGGCCAGCACGCTCGTCGGACCTAAATCCTATGGACTTTTGTATATGGGATTATATGAAATCTGTCGTGTATCACACCGAGGTAGAGAATGTAGAGCAGTTGCGGAATCGTATCGAAGATGCCGTTGAAGAAATACGTAAGAAGCCTGGTTTATTCCATCCCATCCGCCGCTCATTTATCCAATGTGCGCACTTGTGCATAGACGGTAACGGTAATGTATTTGAACATTTGCTGTAAACTTGAAGGCTTACAGCAAATTAAAAAATTAAAATTATGTTAATAAAAACTGATTTTTGGCAATGCATGCTCAGATCTCCTGGAGGTTCTTGCTGGGCAACAATAACAATTTAATATGTTGATTGCATAATAACAAAAAATAATTTATAGCATTTTAAATTATTATTGGCTGACGTGAGCAAACCGTTTATTTATTGTCTTTATATGAGCGAAAATATATAAATATGGCAACATTGCATCTAGGGTGCCTTGTTCATATCGTAGCCATGCGCAAACTGTGAATCGGTCACTAACAGCCTAACAGTCAAAAGGGCGTTAAATGATTTGAAAATATTTTTTTTAGCTTAATGCATTTAAATTTTTTTTAATCACGCCATCGTATTATACTCATTTTTCTGTATCTGCTCTTAAAATTAATGAAGTTATGATTGAATCACCTTGTATATGTTTTACTTACTGCTCCAAAAGAGTAACTGACGTTTCAATTCGATTTTCATGAAATTCCTTAAATTTCTTAGCTTCTTGCCCTAAAATATCTTGCATAGCTGCTAAGATGTCATCTTTTCTCAAAGCTTCGTTATAACGATTAACAGCAGCTAACAGCCTTTCTTCATCTTGCTTTTCTTGATTCAATAATTCCTCAACGGGTTTATTGTTTAACGTCAGCAATTGGTTTATAACAATGTCGGCGTTATTTTCAGCTAAAATAGTTTTTCAAACCCATTAGTATAATTAGATAATTACAAAATAAATATTTAATTACCTTCCTGTAACTGTTCGATTAACTTAAACCGTTCAATTTCTTTTTGCTGTTGTATCTTATTTAATTCCGAGTCGAAATGAGTTCTTTCTGCAGCTAAAGCCGCTAGCAACTACAATTCAGAAAAAACCATACTCGTATAAAAAAACTTATGGTTGAAACTGATTGCACTTCAAATTTTACAGTTAGTTTTGTAATGTTAACTAGAAATAAAATATACTACTTAAATGACAATAAATAAAATACCTTTTCTCTATTTGCTTTCGATGCGTTTGCTAACTCTATTTGTTGACTTTGCAACGTTTCATTATGCTTTTCGATTTCCAAGAATTCTTGTGCCTTCCTTTGCTACAATAAATATTCATTATTAAAAATAAATACATTTGATTTGGATTATAGCAAATAATTTGTGTATTAAATTTTTTCTGTAGTTTATAAAATGTATAAATCAATTGGAAAAATAGCAAGTAAGGCTTTGACAATTGTTTTATTTAACAGGTTGTCATAGAAAAGCATCGTTGGTGTTGTGTTCTTTTGAATATAAAATAAATATTTCAAAGACAATTTTGCTACCTGAATCACGCACATATTTAATAACTGCAGTAAGTAATATGTGTAGTTTTCCCACCTGAGAAGTCATGGTTTCTTATTGTTAATGTTTTATTAATTTCAACAATGTTTCATATTTATTTTTATGTTCGCAAGTACAAAGTCGTCTACGAGCCCTAACACATAAATGTTCGGACACGTCAGTTATTTCAATAAATCACTCTCGAAAAACGTATAAACTAACTTTTATTTTTCTCACTTTAATTTGTGATTACAATGCATGTATCTATTTCTATAAACCATAAATAGTTTTGATTTTGGTAAATATATAAGCAGGTCACATAAGCAAATTCTGAAATATGCAAATAATACGTGACACATTAATGTTCAGACATCACGGCAATGTCTAAAAATACACAATCAAACAGTAGGCTTTGAAAACAAAATGTATAGAATCATTGTTGACTGACATTTACTGTTGCTAATAACGCAGTTATGGTGAAAATGGCACGAGGTACAGCAACAAATACAAAAATTCGAGATTTAAGTGTTAAAAAGTATCTTGACAACAATAGCATTCGTAAGATAGCGAAAGAGCTAAGTTTGCCAAAATCAACAGTTTTTAGTATAATTAAGCTTTATGAAGAAACAGGAAAAACTGATAGTCGTGGGCAATCGAGTGGTAGACCGGTTAAAATAACATCAAGATCTCAAAGGAAACTTGTAAAACTGTGCAAAGAATCGCGAAGAGGAACTGTACGTGAAATAACTGCAGAATGGAATGGTCAAACAGGACTAAATATTTCACGGGAAACATGTAGAAGGTGGATTCTCAAGTCTGGTTTAGGATTTTATAAAGTAAGTTGTGCTTCTATGTTATTAAAGTCAATTAAAATTAAAGTATGAGTGATTTTAGGCCAAAGAAAAACCTCTTCTTACCGAAAAACAAAAAAAAAATCGGCTGATATGGGCAAAATCAAAACGTTCTTGGACTGTAGACGATTGGTCCAATGTCATATTTTCTGACGAGTCAAAATTTGAGGTCTGCGTCGGGGATTACCGGAAACGAGTAATCAGATCTAAATCAGAAGCATTCCATAAAGATTGCATTTAGCGAACCGTAAAATTTCCACAAGGTATAATGATTTGGGGATGCATGTCTGCAAGAGGTATGGGCAAGTTTCAATTCGTGGATGGAATTATAAACGCCGATAAATATCAACAAATTTTGCGAGAAAATCTTTTGCCGAGTGCATTATCTTTGTATCCTGAAGGAGACTATATTTTCCAGCAAGATGGTACGTCATGCCATACGGCCAAATCTACAAAAAAATGGTTTGCAGAAAACAATCTAAAAGTTCTTTCATGGCCCGCAAGTAGTCCAGACCTTAATATTATTGAAAATATATGGCATAAAATGAAACAACAGTTAAGAAATGATCCACAACGAACCGTTTCCGATTTAAAAAATAAAATCACTGATATATGGGAACATCTTACACCAGAAATATATCTTATCATTAGTCAAATCAATGCTTAAACGAATCGAGGCAGTTATTAAGTCGAAAGGTGACGTGACTACGTATTAGTTGTTAACTTACATCTAACAATTATAACGTGTCCGAACATTAATGTGTCACGTATTATTTGCATATTTCAGAATTTGCTTATGTGACCTGCTTATGTATTTACCAAAATCAAAACTATTTATGGTTTATAGAAATAGATACATGCATTGTAATCACAAATTAAAGTGAGAAAAATAAAAGTTAGTTTATACGTTTTTCGATAGTGATTGATTGAAATAACTGACATGTCCAAACATTTATGTGTTAGGGCTCGTATATTTTACCAAATTTATTTCTAATTGTAATCTTGTTATCATTTTATTGCAGAAAAGATATAATATACCTATTTAATCATATTTGAATACCTTCAACAATAAAAATCATGCATTAAAAAAATTGTCTTAAGTATTTGTGTCATATTCTCCATTATTTTTTTTTATAAAAAAAAGAATTTTACATATATTTTCAATGGAGTATTTATAAAATATTGACTATGAAAAAATATATGTATTTTTTATATATCAGCGGTAATTAGAATATTTTCAATCTTTAAAGTATTTAAAATGCAGAGTGTGGTAACTAACTCAAATTAAACAGGATGACATCTTTTACAAAAAAAAAAATATATATATAATAATAAAAAGTAGATGTTATGATCATTTGTATTTTCAGTTCCTTCCTCATTAGTTATTGTTTTAAAAATTAATAAATTTCACTCTGATTTACACATTGGGTCACTGTCATAAGGAAAGACATTAAAATACAACTAAAAGCAACAGTAAAAATAAAAATAAAAAGCAATTTTTCAAAGCACTCACTAATAATTTAAACAAAGCAGCGATAAAAATAAACATGCCTTAATCTTTTCTAGCTCCCATATTCTTGCCTAAAAATAAACAGAAACAAATTAGTAATGGATGATTAGCACCATGTATATGTGATAATAAAGATATGTAGATATAAATAATTATAACGAACAATTCTCGACTACGAAAGTAACAAAACTTAAAACTGATTTTTCATCGTATTAAAAATAAAAACTTATACATATTTCATTGTTATAACTAGTCTAACTTCCAATAACCGAAATGTGATAATTTCAATTAAAATAAAATGTAACAACATATTTTTTAATTCATTAATTAAATCTATATATTTTACTATATTATTCTACTTTTCCTTTTATTGAAATATTTATCATATTCTGTGTGTTAAAAGAATGTTTTAAAATATTTTAATAATAACATTTACAAAAAAAATGAGACAGCCTTAATTATTATTATTAAATAAGTGATTCTAGTTTTTATTTTTGTTACTACATTGACAGAAAAGATAAAAAATAGACGTTACAATTAGGTACTTACCTCAAAGTTATCATTAGGTTCTTGCGAGTCTGTCTTTTCTTCTGCAACACTTTCATCAAATTCTGGAGGTGAATAAGGTATTCCTGCATCTACAAAAAATATATGTTCAACACAAATATTAAAATAGTAATTTATAAAAAAAATATATGTTCCGAACTTGATAACTATGATTTAAATGTATAGAGATAGATCTATTATTGTATTCGCCTTCCTGATAATAAGAAACAGTTTTGTTGATCCTGTAAAAACCTTTTGATAGAAGTCCTCAATGATAACGACTAAAAATTAAAGTAGAATTTTTTCAAGGCAAATTATAGATGGTTAAAAGATTTTTTCGATAAGACTTCGGAAAGGGGTGTATTCATATTACCACAAAATTTGAAAGAAATTATGTCCTACAAATAAATTTTGAAAATTCTGTAGTTAATGGATACATATACAAGATAGTTGAAATTCGTAATAAATTAAACCAAAGATGTATTGGAATACTATTGCAAATAATAAAACATCTTTTATTATTTGCAATAGTATTTCAATACATCTTACTTCAGAGAAGACTTTAAAATCATTTTTAAGAAGCACTTTTAGGTTTGGATTATCCGATTTATCAAGAGAATCCTATATTTTCATTGGAAGCACTGTTAAAGAAGCCTTTAGACCCAATAAGAACCGAAATTAATATCAGGGCAGACCTGGTGTTTTAATAGTGGGTCTGCCCCCACGGTGCCTAGCCCTAGAACAACAAGGCGAAGCCAAAGGTTCCTAGCTAAGGCTAAGGAAGTGAAAGATAATTCTGTAACTGGCAGCAAACTGGTGCACAGACATATATTTTTTTAAACATATCCTTTTTTTACTTATCACTTTGATTAAGATTGAAGGTTTTACATCTTAGGTGACATCCTATTTTATATTATAAAGAAAAGTATTTCTTACCATCACAAAGAAACCTTAATATAGCTTCGGTTCCATTTTCTACAACAATACTGGGCGGATATATGAAACCTTTGGAATCTAAGTCTAACATCTGTATTCTTTGACAATTACTCAGACTTTTTGGTAGTGATGTCAAATGTTTATTTCCGCATATATTTAAATAGGTTAAACTAACTAAATTTCCCATAGTTTCAGGTAAGAGTTTTAAAATGTTATTTGAAACTTCAAATATTCTAAGATTCGATAATTTGCACATATTTTCAGGCAGTTTCTTTATTTCATTATTATTCACATAAAACTCCTAAAACAAGAAAAAATAGAAAAGCACAATAAACAGGAACATAACAGTGTTTAATTAAAACTATATCATTACTGCATATTTGGAACAAATCTGCATTCCGCCGCGTAAACCTTCATGCAATTTAACTTTTTAATATTCCAGCAGAAGAGTATAATTTATTATGGATTGCACCACACATGTTCCCTGTTGCACATTTTTTTTTTTGTATTGTAGTTCGTACTTATGACGACAATGCTTTTCATATGTAATTTTTGTGATATACAACACAAATATTTTGAAAAAAAAAAAAATCATACCTAGTGACACATTACTCGAAATATTAAAAAGTGGTCAAGAATTCGGTTGCGTCCCCGAATATGTTAAATAGAATAGTACCTAATAGGTCAAATATTTCACACTGACTTAGTTCGAAATGGTACAATTTAAATAAACAAGTTATTATATTATTAAGCACCAGTGTTTAGTTTAATAAATTGGTTGCATAATTTTTTAACTATAACAGATTTATATATGGAAAATATCGCAAACTTTTTCATCTTAAACCTAAGAAATTAGACAAGATCGACTAATTTAATTTGAAGTACTACTAATTAAAAAAGTAAATTTATTGTCATATCCTGCAGCTTACCTGCTTATGAATAAAACTGTAACTCTTTCTACACATACTAAAATAAATTTCATTCATATAGCATATAGCTGAACTTACCTGCAAATTTTTCAATAAATATATTTCCTCTGGAATGGAACTGAACGAGTTGTAACTTATATTTAAAACCTTTAACAAATATAAATCTTTAAGTTGACCTCCTCCTGTCAGTGACGTTAAACAATTATTCTGTAACTGCAGAGACTCCTTTAGAAACACTCTACATAAGGAATAAATGCCAGTAGGAACTTCACGAAGACAGCAATCAGTTAAATCAAAAACTGGTTCGGGATTTTCACGAGCTAAATATAACTTATGCTCTAATTTAGCTTTATCAACCCGTTTGTTTCGTCGAAACATGATTATTTTGCAAATAAATATCACATTGTAAAAAAGGCACATAGATTAAATGTATCAGGACAGATGGTCAAGAAATCATTTTAACCACTTGCGATACAATATCTATTTTAGAAAAAGTATTCATTTAAACTGCACATTATAATTTAGTTACTTAAGATAAATTTGCCCTTTTACTAATCAAAATTGACTAACTTTAAACTTCGACTGTATATCACTTATCTGTCAGTTTGTCAATTGTCAGTGTCAATTATGTCATCGACTGTGAATAACAAATACTCGTCTTCTTCTTCTTTAAAGACTCGTGCATAGACCTTATAAACTACTGGACTCGCCCGCGCCGTTATTCCATGGCTAGAAATTGGCCTCAATGATTTGGGATCGAGGGGGATTATCCCTCTTTATCCTGCCTCATCTCGTGTAGGCCTGGACACTACGACGGAGACCATTGTCCCCCGACTGACAAACCCCCGGGGCACCCTCCCCGATGACATAAAAAACTTAATACGTGACAGACGACGTGCGAAACGGCTTGCCACCCGCACCCGCCTCCCCCGACACAGACATGACTTAAACGTACTTAACAGACGGGTGAAGGCGGCTCTGGACGAACTGGCCCAGAACAACTGGGCTAGGCACCTGGAGTCGCTGGATCCACAAGACAACAGCCTCTGGAAAATGCAAAGGGCCCTGCGACAGACCGCTCGCCGTAAAATTCCTCCAATCCACGGTAGTGGATTGGTGGTTTACACGAACCAGGAAAAGGCCGAGGCTTTCGCCGATAGCCTGGAACTGCAGTGTAGACTGCCTCAGCTGCCCGACGAAGACGAGGAATTCGAGATAGTGGCTGAGCGCGCGGCCCGACGCGTCGACAGAGAGCCAGACAATGACATAATCCCCCCCGCAACACCTGACGAACTAAGACTGACAATACGCAGACTTAAAAACAGAAAAGCCCCCGGACCCGACAATATACATAACACGACACTTAAACGACTACCACACAAGGGCCTCATGGCCCTACTAAACATAACAAACGCGACACTCAGACTAAGACACTTCCCTACCCGCTGGAAAACAGCAAACATAATCCTTATCCCAAAACCCAACAAAGATCACACCATCCCATCCAACTACCGGCCCATTAGCCTGCTCCCGGCTATGAGCAAAGTGGTAGAAAAAATTATCCTAACCCGTCTAAGAACCCACTCCCAAGAACTGCAAGTCATTCCAGACGAGCAGTTCGCCTTCCGACCCAATCACTCCACTGAACTCCAAATCCTTCGCCTTACCGAGCACATCACGGCGGCCTTCAACAGGGGACAGTACACTGGTGCTGTCTTCCTGGACGTCGCAAAGGCCTTCGATACGGTTTGGCATGAAGGCCTACTGATGAAAATGCTCACCAACCAATATCCCATATCCTTTACCAAACTCATAAAATCCTACCTACACCACCGAAAATTCCGCATCCAAATCCAAGATTCCCTTTCCACCACCCGTCCCATGGAGGCCGGTGTCCCCCAGGGCACCGTCCTGTCCCCACACCTATACACCATTTACAACTCCGACATCCCACATCCCCCCAACACCAACATATACTTATACGCCGACGACCTGACAATCACATCCCAATCCGTAGATCCTAGATATTCCGTCTACCTCCTCCAAAGCTCCTTAGACCAACTTGAAACCTGGTGCAACAGGTGGAAAGTCAAAATTAATCCCAACAAAAGTTCGGCTATCCTTTTTACCAAACGAAAAATCCCACAAAACCTTGACAGACTGACACTATCCCAGGAACCCATCTCCTGGAATCGACAAACACGATACCTGGGCGTGACGATGGACCAGCGTCTCACGTGGAAACCGCACATCGTGGAGACGGTGGCGCGAGCGAAGACCACCAGGGCTAGGCTCTATCCCTTACTCAAAGGTGGAAACACCCTCAGTTTAAGGAATAAGCGAACGCTTATCAAGGTGGTACTTCAACCGCAGCTAACCTACGCCTCCACGGCGTGGGGTCACGCGGCAAAAAGCCACTTAAAGTCATTACAGGCTGTGGAAAACATAGCCCTCCGCACGGCCACCGACGCGCCCTGGTACGTAAGAAACACTGACATATTACGAGACTTACAATACACAAACGCTACACAGACAATAAGACAAAACGCGGAGAAACGATTTGACGTAGCCGCTAGACATGACAATCCCCTCCTCAGGCAAGCCGTTGACTACGTACCCGACGTGACCGACAAACACAAAAGACCTAGACACCAACTTTTTGACCCTGGGTGACCACCCCAATGACCCCCCCCCTGCCCGCTAACCTTTTCTGTTTCAGAGACAGCCAGGATCAAGAAACGAAGACAACGACACACACACACACACACACACACACCCCCCATACCCTCCTTAACCCTCCCCTCCCGCGCTAGCCTAAGGGCCACCTTAGCAAAGCGCATCCCAGGCTGCATAGCCGCACTACCCTACCCAACCATACCACACATAAACATGACACTACCCCCGGGGTTTACACAGACGAGCCGGCGAAGCAAGAAGAGCGCCAGAAGAAAGGGCCCTAGCCGGCGGGGCCCAGCCAGGACAAAAGGAGGTCCCACAAAGCGCCTACACCGGCCGCATTTGCGGTCGGGGTAGACGACGGATGGGGCCCACCTACGAAGGCTGTCCAGGCCTACACGAGATGAGGCAGGATAAAGAGGGATAATCCCCCTCGATCCCAAATCATTGAGGCCAATTTCTAGCCTTGGAATAATGGCGCGCGCCTCAACTATCTTCATCTGCCTTGCACACATCAGCGCCATGGACCTCTCTTTCTAGGGCCAGTTCATAGTTTATTAGGTCAGTGGACTCGTCATGGATCATATGAATTTTAGTTTAAAAGTGTGTTCATTAAAAATGAGGTACATTCGGAATTCCGACACTGTAATTATGAAATAATATATAAATATCCTTACTGAGCTGAGACTGAGTTGCATTAGACTGTGGCTGTATTTTGTCCATATAATACTTACACGTACATCAATAGTGTCAATATTCACCTTAGCAAAGCGCATCTCAGGCTGCACAGCCGCACTACCCTACCCAACCATACCACACATAGAACATGACACCACCCCCGGGGTTTACACAGACGAGCCGGTGAAAGGGCCAGAAGAAAGGGCCCTAGCCGGCGGGGCCCAGCCAGGACAAAAGGAGGTCCCACAAAGCACCTACATCGGCCGCATTTGCGGTCGGGGTAGACGACGGATGAGGCCCACCTACGAAGGCTGTCCAGGCCTACACGAAATAAAGCAGGATAAGGAGGGATAATCCCCCTCGATCCCAAAAATCATTGAGGCCAATTTCTAGCCATGGAATAATAGCGCGCGGCGAGTGTCAATATATCAGTATAGGCCAAAATCAAATTGTCGAAAATACCTACCTCATTTTTTTGCCAAAAAATAGTTCAGTAATTGAAAATATGTAAAAATTTGGAAATTAAGAATAATTCCGTAGAAATCACTGAACTACTTTACCCCACATGAATGTTTGGACTTCATTTTCAAAATGGCGTCCAAAGTTCGCAAAAAAAGGTTTTTTTCATTATAAAAAAAACTAAACATTTTAGATAAAAATGTTTCAAACAAAAGCTGTAGGAATTTTTAATATGGATCGATCGGTTTTGATCGATAAATAAATTAATTATTATTGCAAAAAAAACACTAAAAATCGCAATATTTTCAAATAGCTGTATCTCTTTCAAAAATAAATATTTTTTTATGAAACTTGGTAAAAGGATAGCTCTTTGTGAGCAAAATAAAATGATTTTTTCAAAATTGAAAAATATTTTATAGTTTGTGCAAAAATCGAGTTTTTCGAAAAAAAAGCGTTTTTGTAAAATCCCCATAATTCATAGGCCGCCCATCTTTAGGAACGGGGTTAGACTTAAAATTTTCTTTAATAATTACACTATTATGTGCAAATATTGCGCGAGCCTCAAATCGATTTCAAATATCGCAAAAAACGCCTGTTGGTCGTAAGACAGACTTTTTTTTTTAATTTCGTGAAAAAATGTCAACTTTCGAATGGCAGTATCGACATTCTGATACGAATTGAAATCAAAAAGTTAATCAAAGTTTTATGGCCCCGAAAAAAAACGATTTTTCCATCGTTTTTTGCGATATTTGAAAAAAATAATTTTTTTATCAAATTTAGTTGTAAAAAAATTGCTAACTCCGAACCTATTGGTCGTAGAAACCTTTTTTTTTGAATTTGTAGGTATTTTTACGAGCTTTCGAATGGTGTATATAACTTATTTCAAAAGTTAAAAATCGCGGAGTTATTTTATTTGCTTATTAGGGAAAAAAGTGCCTTTTGTTTGTTAACAACTATATACAACTAAATTTGAAAAAAAAAATATTTTTTTTAAACTAGAGGATACTTGGTGTCACTTCAAAGAAAATGAGCCCAAAAAGAATGTTTTAGTCACAACCCTGTCCCCGGAATAGTCATTTAGGCCTTTTGCAAAAATATGGGATAAATAAATGGAATTTTGCAAAAACTATTTGACTGATCGAGCCCATCTTTTGCACATCTCTTAAGGATCTAAAAACTCACATTTTGGGAATGTTTGGTAAGATTTTATTAATTATTTAAAAAGTTATTAACAATTAAAGAAAAATCACTTTTTCCGTTTAATTTTGCAATAAATTTTTTGTTTATAAAGCAATTTTAACTTATAGTCTCATTTTAAAGATGAGTTTCTCTAGATCAAATCGTCTGTTGAACATTTTTTGCTAAAATTAATAGTTTTTTTTACAATAATGCGTAGAACGAAAAATGACGAATTTTTTATCTATTTGTTGATAAAAAACAATAATGACTATACTTTTTTCATGACCCACGAGATGAGACGCCTCTTGTATTATCATTCCCAAGACTTTTCCAACAATAAAATCACGCCCAGTAATTAATAAATTTCAAAATGTTTTATGGTCTATAGATGTATTTACGAGATATATAAATTTTGTGAATAATTATTCCTAGATTTAAATATTTTCATTATTATTTATTATTAGGATAAAACAATAAAATACAGCCCTAAATAAAAGACAGACGTCTAAGTGACAGCTTTTATTATTATCGTTTTTTCGCCTACAGTTGCTTTACATAGGTAGGTCTACAATTGTCAGGCTAGAATTTTTACCAGTAGGTACCTTTTTTCTATGCCAGTACCTAATAAACATATCAGCAAGCATTTGGTTCTTCGGGCTCTGGTACAAAATTATTCTTTCTACTTATTCTATATTCAGTAGGCGTCAGCATCCCTCTCAGAATCGTATCAAAAGATACGTTAATGCCCTTCTCTGTCATTTTGCAGTAAAGATCCCAACACTGCTTCTCTTTTTGGGATTCATATTTTGCATCATCTTTAACTTTTACTACTTCTTCAGGATGGATTTCCACTTTCGCTTCGGTTTGAATTTTACTCCCATTGGTCGCTGGCGTAGAATCGTCGACCTCCTCAATGGTTTTCGTTTTTATAGCAACTGAAAAATTAGGTTCATTCGCCGGTTTTTCCTCGGTATCAGTGGAATCGTTCTGTTCGACGTGTTTGGGCTCTTTAGAACTAAAATAAAATGGAATTATTTTTTTCAATAAAGAAGCTAGTTATTTTCTATGTTTACTGATATTTTCCCACATGTGAAAAAATATAATAAAATCTATTTAAAGAAACTCTAAGGTTACACAGATCAGTCAAAGGAATTGCATTTCTAAGTAAAAAATCTCAGAAATTTGAACCCAGGTTTAAGCCGCGTGACCTCCAAGCTTAGGCAACCAACATCACAGGGCTGATACTGGTAACGAAAAATCCATGTTGGAGTAACCAATATTAGATCCTTCATAATGAACAAGTGTTCGAGATAATGCAATCCCTGATCGGCTGAATAAAATCTCGTGAAAAATTACACCAATCACAACCGGTGAAACAAAATGTTGTGTTTTAATGTAACCTTGATCTTATTGTTTTAACAATTTTTAATTTTACCGATATTTAATTGCCAACATAAAGGAAATAAAATTACTGTTGAAAACAGGATTACTGATCACGTGGGTTGTAGTCGTTTATGAAGATTGTGTGCATAACTGACTACACTTGACTACTTATTTGTGTAATTTCTTTTACGATTTTAGTTGTCTACTGAATAATTGTGTGTAATTATGTCGAGCATAGTTTGTGCTAAAAAACAGAAAACAATTTATACCATACTGACTAAAAAAAACAAATTTACCGGTATTAAGTAGCTATACAATTGAACACCTAAAAACTATTCATGGCATGTGGAAAACAAAGCGGAAATATATTTTTTGAAATAGAAAAGAATTTTATGAAAGTAAAAGGAAAATAATGAGTTCTAAAAATATCTATTTAAGCTGCGCCCCTCGTTTAAATGTTTGATTTTTTATTTTTTTTTTATAAAATTAATAAAAAAGCAGAGTAATAAATTATGTACTCAGGTCAGCATCACAGCTTTATCAATAGTTTTGTCCAACATAGCAGCACTCAACATGTGCTATTTCAAGTGCATGTGGTCATCGGGAAAGTTAAATAACAAATAATAATTTCTTTTACTAAAATAATATAAACAATAATATAATTCAGTATACCGGGTAGGAAAGCGCCGATGGTCTATCACAAGTTACGTGAGAGCGATAAAGTAAGACATAGAAATCCATGCGATAGAGAAGGATGGCTATAATTAAGGCGTATCATAGTCAACGCCCATTTCGCCCTTCCACAAATAAGAAGTGGGTCTTATTTGTGGAAGGGCGAAACGGGCGGTGACAAAGAGAAGCCTTCATTATAGCCATCCTTCTCTATCGCATGGATTTCTATGTCTTACTTTATCGCTCTCACGTAACTTGTGATAGACCATAGGCGCTTTCCTACACGGTATACATATACACCAGGAAAATTAGCGAAAATAAAAGAGAAACTCGAAAAAAGTCCTATCCGCGAGATTATTGTAAAATTGTCTAAAGGAACGTAATACAAGACATATCTCATCTCCTGAGTCAAAAACTTTTATTAGCTAACTTTTCTATTTAAACAAATAAGTTAGGAAAACAGTTTTTTCACTTTGCAGGGAAAACCATCAATTTTAGCGAAAGTGACTCACATATAGCTTGTAGGGAGTAAAATTATCTACAAAATGAGACTTGTTAAATTAAAATCGGTTAATAAACAAAAAAGTTATTGCAAAATAACAAGAAAAGTGCCCATTTTTTAATTTGTTTATAACTATCGCATTTATTTTTAAATTTTATAAAACCTATGACAAGTTGAGGATTTTGTCATACTTTCTTTATAAGTGTGCCAAAAGTGGGCGCTATAGGTGCAATAGTTTTCGCACAATTCAATTTGTTTATAATGGAGGCTCCAAAAGTTATGAACTTTAAGCCTCTGTACAGGCGTTAATTTTCAACCAAACATGATTCTGAAAGTGTCATTGTAACCTTAAAGACGTAATTAAGCGACCTAAAATATCACAGGTTTTTGACATTAACATTCTCAAATTGTGGATTAAAAAACCGTGCGTTTTTCGCTTCTAAACAATTTGAATAATAATCTCACCGAAAATAGATGCACTGGACAGCTGGCAAAAAATACAGTTTTAAAATAAAAAAGTACCCTCTACGACCAACAGGAGCAAGATATTTTTTAAATCGTAGCGCAATTGTTTATAAATTGACTTGACTTGAATTTTTCGCAAAATAAAGTTTACGACGTAAACTACGATTGCCCGTGAATTGCATTGAAAAATGTGGAAAATTAACGACTCACGACCACGAGCCCTTTAAAGAGAAGTTCAAATTGATGCGCGCTGTAAATTTTGCAATATCTCGGCTTCAATTAATTTTTTTTAAATTGGGGTAGCTCGACGAAAAAATAACAATGGGCATATTTACGAATTCGTAGAATAGCCCTGAAACCCAGAAAAAAATGCATCTTTTAGACTTAATTTTTTTTAATTTACAAAAATGCCACAAAAATTATTATTAAACGAAATATTAATTAAAATATCAATTTCGGAATTATTTCACTATTATTAAATAAATAAATGAAGCTATCGTTAATTTAAAAAGTAATTTTTTGAAATGAGAGATGTCTTGTATTATGTTCCTTTAGTCAATTTTACAATAATCTCGCGGTAGGACTTTTTTCGAGTAAAAATTTAATTTGCTTGGTCTAATNATATATATATATATATAAACGTTTAAAATAAATATTAATAAACATAAAGTATTAAACACTGCACAAAACTGGCGTAAAACCAGGAAACTCTATGTTTGATTTAATCTTCATAGAACCTACCATTTGACATAGTAAATAATAAAACATTTCATTCCTACTGGAATAAATACAATCCCGAGTGGAAATTACCATGTCGGACCAGCTTAAACATTATTTAATTATGCAAATATTACATCAATAGATATCGAACGGTCGTTCTCTTGAGATTAAGATATTTTATCACCGCCGCGAATAAGTCTCGCTGAAACAAGGGTAGAAACATACCTGATGATGCGATCTATAACGGATCCCATCCAGATTGTGGAACCGATAGCAACGATGCGTAAAACAATTTACGTGTTTCACAATTATATAAATCTTATAATTATTGTTCACTTTATTTTATGTTGATGATCCCGCACGCCTTTGGTGCGCCGACAATTATGACAGCTCTATTAATTATTATTATTATTATTATTTATTTATTGAATCCGTGATGACTGATGACACAATACTCTAACAAACAGAAAAAAAAACAATTATTCCAAAAAAAAAATATTTACAGACAATAAGTGTTCTCTTATTCAAAAGTTAAATTATAAAAATTACAAAAGTAAGAGATAGGTTGATAGGTATAAGCATATGAGCAACTAGATAAGAGGGTTTTATTCTGTCTTCTGTCGGCAGCAGCGGCAGAGTACCGCCATCTGTAGCTGGACAGACCATAAAATAATTAAGGAAACTGCATTGGAAAACACAATAAGAGTAACCTCTAATTCTACTATCTAATAGATGTCAGTGCACCATAATGGCGGTAAATTTAAATGTAACGAAATACACTAAGAATAAAAAATATTTCATAAGTAATATCACAAAACAGCTACTAATAGTTTAAGTTAATAATTGAAATTAACGTGAACCATTAACAGCTGTTCCATTACCCACTACTTACGAAACACTTTAATTATCTCTTAAATGAAAAAGTTAAAGCAGTGATATTTAAATGTGTGACTAATATACAAATTCATTCTGTTATGAATTCGAAAATATTTAAGCATCAAAAAATTGTACAGGGAGGCTTTTAAAGAATTTGAAAGAATTATTTACCTGCCTTTATGTAAAATGCATTATACAGTTACTTGACAAAAATTATGGTCAGATACATTTGTTTCGAACTAAATGGTTCTCATCAGTGCGATGTAATATACTACACTTATAGCACTTATAGCAAATAACAATTTTAAATATGTGTATTTTGGTTTTTTAACAGGTGGAGGTGAAAAATCATCCTAAATTGAAGTTTGGCAGCTCGTACTCTGAAAATTTTGTAATGTTACGTTAACAAATTGTTTTGCTGAATGTTGGATACTATCCCAGGATTCCAAGGTGATATTATTACAATTAATAGGTGAACTTGTAGTTGATCCTAAAAATAATGTCAGCACATCACTTCTTATTACTTTTAAACATTTTAACACAAAAATAATGATTCTATCCACAGTAATTGTCTGTCTTTTGTAATTCTGAAAAAACATTGACGTTTGGTTGTACCAAGTAAACTCATTTGGATGGAAAAAACTAATAAAAAAGAGTAAGGCAGTTCAGACAATTGATTCAATAAATCCCTTATTACATTAATTTAAAACAAAACAAATTTATTAATGCACAAAACGCGAGAACCTACTTGAACATAAACTACTTATAACCTCAAACATTCTATTTCTGTATTTTCGGTTGATTGAAAGATTGGAAATACAGGCAAGGCTTTTTTTCGCGAGTGTAGTGGTATGTTGTAGTATGTGTAGTGTGAGTGAATGAAAAGATTTAAACTACCATATTATGACAACTAAGATCAAGAGAGATAGAAAAAGTAACTTGCAAGTAAGATGTTCACCAATATTCAGTCGCGAAAAAAAGCCTACAGATTCGATTTGTGGTTGCAGATTTCTGTTTAACAATTTCTATAAAGAACAATGTTTTGCTGCACCAACACGAGATGGCCTCAGTGAATGCATGCTCCGTTAGCCCTATCCAATAAAGTCCTCTTATTTATTTACTCATATGAGTATAAGGTATAGCATCTTTCTTCTAAAATTTTCCTATATTACCATTAACAAAATACACATTTTTCCTTAAACACGTAGAATGGGCATTTCTCTGGGGCATAAGGGCCTGAACAAAGTGTAAGTAGTAGGGACTGACAATTTGTCAAATAAAAAGGAAAAAAAGAACATTTTCGAAGATGTATTTCTATATTCTGCCGGATGCGCCAGGACATTATAAAATATCTCCTTGCGCTCAAACTTTAACAGAAACAGGTTTCAGAAATGAAC